TACAGTGTCAGTGCTTTTTTTTAGCACTGATCACTGTATTGGTGTCACTGGGGATGTCAATGACACCAAGTCAGTTCCCCAAAGTGTCAGAATGTCCGCCACAGTCCCGCAGTCCCGCTATAAGTTTCTGATCACCGCTATTACAGGTTAAAAAAAAAATCCAGTATCTATACCAGTATCTATACCTCCATTTGTAAATGCTATAACTTTCACGTAACCCAATCAATTTACACATATTGGGTTTTTTTTTTAGCAAAGACATGCAGAATATAAAATTGTGTGATTCTTGTGAGCTACTATGATATATTTTTAATTTAACTGATAAATAAATAATTATATAATATCTTATGTGACTAAACTAATAAATAAATAACATAAAATTATATATTAAATCAGTGGGTCGCCTACACCTTACACATACCCATACAAATGTGTCTTTAACAAATCAAGAAACTCTCCCTGATGAAGCCACATGACCAGGTGGCATAACGCGTAGGGGAGGGGCTCTGAAGTCATGACTCTTCAAGGCATAACACACAGCAAGTAGATGGGAGTGTGAAAACTTACCAAACAAACCAAATTTGTATCAAAGGAGGTTTTTTATTGTTTCACATGTGAGTGTAATATATTTATTTAATAAATCTTAAAAAAAAAGAGGATAAGGCACTATATATTTTCTTTTAATGACATGGAACACACATATATGGAGGAAAAAGTTTGAAAGGAGCCAGGGGACCCCCTGGTGGAAAGAGGGATAACTCCATCCATCCATACTGAGGAAAAGGATCTCTTGATAACGCGAGACCCCCTGCTGGAAAAAAAGAAAAAAACTCCATTCATTCATCCACCCATCTGGGATACAGGGATTTATCCATATGTCCAAATCTGAGCCCAATTTAAGGGACACAAGCTTGTATGACCTCACGTAACGGTTTGGTCATACACATCAGGTGAGAGCACAACTGGTGAAGCACAGCATATATATATATATATATATATATATATATATATATATATATATATATAAATTCGGTAGACTTTATTTTATATATTTATTTTTCAATATACTATAGAAGACACTATAAGATCACGGATTGTTTTGAGGATTTTTTCTGAGGTCTAGATATATGAAGATATGTATGCAGCACTTATGTGATTGTTAACATCACTTTAAGGAAATATATGTCAGTATATGGTTTTGCACTTATTGATTTGTATATACCGTAAAGTGGAGCACGACACATTGTTTCCTGACATGTAACAGAATACATTTTGGCCTAAATTTATGATGAAATTTGATTTTTTACATTTTTTACTGGACATGTTTAATAGCAAAAAGTCAAAAAATATTGTTTTTTTTTTCTCAAAATTGTCGGTCTTTTTTTATTATAGCGCTAAAAAATACACATCAAAAGAAGAAAACTCAATTTGTGGGGAAAAAAAGGACATAAATTTTATTTGGGTGCAGCATTGCATGACCGCACAATTGTCAGTTAAATGGCCTGGTCAGGAAGGGGGGTAAATCCTTAAGAGGGAAGTGGTTAAACAATGCAGTTTGTTTACATAGCCAGGAATCCCTGGCCACATAAACAAAGGACACATTGTCTATATTTGATCTTGGACAAATTTTGGCAATGGTGTCACTACTGCCCCACCCCCTTATATTAACAATGACAGCATACTGTTTACTTTTTTTTTTTTGTGAATGAGTAAGGCTATGCACCCCTATCTGGTATCTGGGTGCCCCCTATTGTTGAAGGGGATTCCAAATTAGCCTCCCCCATTTACAGACCCCCACAAATACTGGGTAAAAGAAAAGAACGTCTACACTTACCTATTCTGAAGCCACACTGGTCTGGTTACATGGTTGGCTTCTAGTGGTGGCTTCAATGTAGAGAAGGGACAGCCGACAATGGATGCTCCATAGTAAGCCTATGGATGACATCACCACAGCCATTGTTGCTGCTTCTCCTCTACACTGGAAGCCAGTCATGTGACCGGAGCAGGGTGGCTTTAGAATAGACTTTACAATAGGTAAGTATAAGTATATTTCCTTTTACAGGGTAGATAGAATAGTTCTAGAATGGTGGCGGGAATAGATTTAGGATTATTTAAGGTAAGATTGGAATTCCACAATAAGGATCCTAAACAGAGTACTCTGTATGCACAGAAAACTAAGCAATCAAAACAAACAAAAACATTTTCTGTAACTGCTTAAAAATCATTAGTGGGAGTTGAGTTTTAAATTGGTTGCCACTTAAAGTAGTCAAAACGTTTGTTCATTTTGGATAGAGTAAGGGAGGGTTATAACCACTGTCAGTTTATTTTTTTGCCATCTGTGTCCCATTTGGGAAAATTTACCTTCACTTCCAGTCCCATAGACAAAATAGGAAAGGAATTCCTTGGGGACTAGAACTAATGTGCCCATTGGAAAATTTCCCTTCTATTACTTTTCTGGGTACAACCCAAAATGTGGGGTTCCCTTCACTTTTACTTTCGATGATAATGGTAAACAGGATATGTAAAGAGAGTGAATCTCCCTAAGGGGGGGGGGGGGGGGCCACAGACAGCAATAAAAACCTGACGGGGGTTATAATCCCTCTTTAGTCTGTCCAAAACGAAAAAAATAGTTTTTTCCTTTAGGTATATTTAAAGTCCATTTCAAAACTTCCTATCCATCCAAGACTACCCTGTACACAGCATGATAATGCTGCTGAGTTATGTTACTGCAAAACATTGTTACCCTGTTAAAGGATAAGTTAACTTTTTATAACATGTTACATGTTATACCCATATTCAGGGTGTAACATGTAACATGTTACGATCTGACCAGCCCCCATTTCTGCTTTGACAGCTAATGGGGGATCCCCCCCCCCCACTAGCAGTCAAATTTAAAAAACAAAGTGGCTGTGAATGAGAGACTACAAGTCCCAGCAGCCTTAGCGGCTGTCAGCTTGTAGTCCTCAATTAACTACCATAGCGCTTTGAAGCGACGTGGCAGTTCATTGATTCTTCCTGTCAATATATCTGTATGGCAAGCAGATATACCCACAGGTCTGCAGGAGACCTGCATGGCACCAGCAATCTGCTGTTCACTGGTGCAATGCTTTACAGGCTCCTGCAGACAAAAATAATAAATGCACATTTTATTCATCTGCAAAAAAATGTGTTTTTATTATTTTTTACTAAAAGCTAAACTTATCCATTAAAGAAAGTGGAAAAATAATAGATTTGCTGGTATCAGCTAATAAAACTTGAGAAAAAAAACAAACTCTGCTAGTGACAGACTGGTAGATTGAATATATTTAATATTTGATTTAGCCTTTATTTGTACTTTAGTCTCAGCTTGGAGAGAAGTCAAGGCCCTAGGTAGCATCCAGGACCCTAGGAGCTCCACAAGGGACACACTAATGCAGGTCCTTTCAGGGTCTGCAATTCAGCTCTGTTAGTATTGTAAGCACTTTCTTTTGACAGGATGGGTTCACTTTAGTTACGGGTTGAAGAATTAACATCACCCTTCTACAATTCACTAAAACCTTTATGAAAAACATGAAAAAGCATTGAAAAGCAGCATGTAACAGCTGCAAACACTATAGGTACCCCTTAAACACAACTACACATTATTATTTGCATAAATACAAATGATAATCCAAAGGCCAGGTCCGAAGTCTGTTATTGGTGCTTATTTTACAGTCTTTGGTTTTCTTATAATATTTTTTTAATTTACCACTTGCCTTCAAAAGTGGCACTTCCCATTTGAATGTTATAGTACATTTAAGGAACACATAGAAGCAATTTTTAACTTGTATATAGGAAGTTAACAATCAACAAATTGTTTCTTTGAATAAATAAGACAATTTATAAGCAATGCAAATAGGTTTACGAATAATCTGGCCACAAAAGGCTTTATATAATCGGATCAGTCAAACAGATGTAAAAAGGATGTCAATCACTAACTTAACATCATAATATGATAATGCCAAGCCTATGGGCCTGGGGACGGGAAAACTAATACTGTATAAGCCCATATGCTCACAGAGCATGCATGCAAAACACTACATTTGGGTAAACGGTGCATATTTATGTGGATTATTGTATAGCATTCTCATATACTGCTTAACGGGAGAAGAGGACTATGTAAATGAGTGACAAAACAGCTTAGAGTGTGATGAACATCATATGGGGTCTGTAAAATACCTTTCTAAATTGGCTCAATGCAGATATTTTATCAGATTACTTCAATTGTTAGGTAAAAAGTAAAAATGATAACCCAGGTACATTTTTCAGTTTCAACCACATTTCAGTTTATTGTAACTAGTTCCATTAAGAGATATGTGCACACCGTATTGTTTTTTATAACATTGGTTTCTCCAAGGATCAGTTTTGCAAAAATGGACATGAAGATGCTATGATAACCAACACATATTATTGTAATTACTCTTCTTTTCAAGTTCTATTTACTAATAAAAATTAACATATATAGTATATGAATTTTAGCTTAATTTTGCTTCGCCCTCCATTGGTGCAAACGCCCCCCTTCTTTGAGAGAGGAAAATATAATGATGAAGAAAGGTGAATTGTACATGTGGGGCATAGTCTATTATATTCTACAGTATATCCTGGCTTGTTGTTCACATGCTACATATACCTCATTCTGATGTGTTTCTTGTGCATTTATGGCTTTGGCAGCAAATACTTTTGCTTCAATAGATAATGTTTCTTTGTGTCCATACTCCTAAAATAAAGCATTTATTTTCTTTGGGTATATACTCAGATATACAACATGCATTTTGGTTCTAAGACTTATATATATATATAAAACATAGGTATTGAAAGAAGACATGATTGTACAAAGATTGATTATATGTAGAGATGAGCGAATTATTCAAAAATTCGATTCGGCTGATTCGGCGAATTCGCGGAATAAATTCGATTCGAGTCGAATATATTCGCTTCGAATTTAACTTATAAAAAGGGTGTTTCTAGGCTTCAGAGAGCCTTTATATTAGTGCAGAACACTGTACCTTTAATTTAAATGCCCTTGGAGTCTGCTGGGGAAGAGAAATAATACTGTCAGTCAGTATGACATGCAGATGAGTGCCGTCGATCTTAGAATCACCGCACACTTCACTCATTTGGGCAGTCACGGGGCCAAAACCAGAGTGTGGAGCCACAGTGTGGCGGTGGAGGCAGCAGCAATGGGAGGCCATACAGCACCCTATGAAAAAATGGAACCCACCAGCAGTGTGAGGAGACCTGAAAGTGGCACATGGCAGAGTGTGGCGATGGAGACAGCAGCAATGGGAGGCCGTACAGGGACCCATGACACACTCTGGACCTGGCAGCAGCATGAGGAGGCGGTACAGGGGCCCATGACAGATTACGGGCCTGGCAGCAGCATGAGGAGTCGGTACGGGGGCCCATGGCAGATTACGGGCCTGGCAGCAGCAATGGGAGGCCATACAGCACCCTATGACAAAATGGAACCCACCAGCAGTGTGAGGAGACCTGAAAGTGGCACATGGCAGAGTGTGGCGATGGAGACAGCAGCAATGGGAGGCCGTACAGGGACCCATGACACACTCTGGACCTGGCAGCAGCATGAGGAGGCGGTACAGGGGCCCATGACAGATTACGGGCCTGGCAGCAGCATGAGGAGTCGGTACGGGGGCCCATGGCAGATTACGGGCCTGGCAGCAGCAATGGGAGGCCCGTAATCTGCCAGCACCCTATGACAAAATGGAACCCACCAGCAGTGTGAGGAGACCTGAAAGTGGCACATGGCAGAGTGTGGCGATGGAGACAGCAGCAATGGGAGGCCGTACAGGGACCCATGACACACTCTGGACCTGGCAGCAGCATGAGGAGGCGGTACAGGGGCCCATGACAGATTACGGGCCTGGCAGCAGCATGAGGAGTCGGTACGGGGGCCCATGGCAGATTACGGGCCTGGCAGATGACGACGAGGCTGCCAAGTGCGATCAGCCTCATCATCATCAATTAGGGTCTCCGCCTCACTACTAGCCCCCTCGGCTGCGTGTGGGTCAGGAGACAGACCTGTCTCTAGACCGGCTACCGAGCCACTCTCCTCGCCAGTACTTCTTCGCCTGGCTGCTGAAGAGGCGGATGTCTCCCCCCGTTCCTGACCGCCCTCTGTTAGCTCTTCCTCACTGTACAGTGGGGCTGAGCCCACAGCATGCAATACTTCGCTTGGTGAGGGAACACCAAAGGACAGGGGCAGGTAGAGGACACGTGATTTCAGTGGGCTTGCTCCCGGGCCATGCCAACTAACGGTTGTGTCTGACGTACCCACCGACCGTTGGCTGTAGGTGTCAGAGGTGACCTGGGAAGAGGAAGACGACCGAGCCAACCAATCGATGACGGCAGGGTTGTCGGTGGAGACACGACCGCTGGATGACACCGGGAGCACTGGCCTCTGGCTGCAACTAGTGCTGCCTCGACCCCTTCCTCTGCTGCCACGTCTGCTCGCTCCAGAAACATTGCCTCCTCTGCCACTCCTCTGCGTGTTGTCTGACATACTCTTTAATTCAACGATTCTGTGTCCCTGAGTAACGATTCTGTGTCCCTCAGTAAGGATTCTGTGTCCCTCAGTAACGATTCTGTGTCCCTCAGTAACAATTCTGTGTCCCTGAGTAACAATTCTGTGTCCCTGAGTAACAATTCTGTGTCCCTGAGTAACGATTCTGTGTCCCTGAGTAACGATTCTGTGTCCCTGAGTAACAATTCTGTGTCCCTCAGTAACGATTCTGTGTCCCTGAGTAACGATTCTGTGTCCCTGAGTAACGATTCTGTGTCCCTGAGTAACGATTCTGTGTCCCTGAGTAACGATTCTGTGTCCCCTGAGTAACGATTCTGTGTCCCTCTGAGTAACGATTCTGTGTCCCTGAGTAACGATTCTGTGTCCCTCAGTAACGATTCTGTGTCCCTCAGTAACAATTCTGTGTCCCTGAGTAACAATTCTGTGTCCCTGAGTAACGATTCTGTGTCCCTCAGTAACGATTCTGTGTCCCTCAGTAACGATTCTGTGTCCCTCAGTAATGATTCTGTGTCCCTGAGTAACAATTCTGTGTCCCTGAGTAACAATTCTGTGTCCCTGAGTAACAATTCTGTGTCCCTGAGTAACGATTCTGTGTCCCTGAGTAACAATTCTGTGTCCCTCAGTAACGATTCTGTGTCCCTCAGTAACGATTCTGTGTCCCTCAGTAACGATTCTGTGTCCCTGAGTAACGATTCTGTGTCCCTGAGTAACAATTCTGTGTCCCTGAGTAACAATTCTGTGTCTGTCCCTGAGTAACAATTCTGTGTCCCTGAGTAACGATTCTGTGTCCCTCAGTAACGATTCTGTGTCCCTCAGTAACGATTCTGTGTCCCTGAGTAACGATTCTGTGTCCCTGAGTAACAATTCTGTGTCCCCGAGTAACAATTCTGTCTCCCTGAGTAACGATTCTGTGTCCCTGAGTAACGATTCTGTGTCCCTCAGTAACAATTCTGTGTCCCTGAGTAACATTCTGTTCCCTGTAACGTCCTGTGTCTGTCCCTGAGTAACAATTCTGTGTCCCTGAGTAACAACGATTCTGTGTCCCTGAGTAACAGTTCTGTGTCCCTGAGTAACAATTCTGTGTCCCTGAGTAACGATTCTGTGTCCCTCAGTAACAATTCTGTTCTGTGTCCCTGAGTAACAATTCTGTGTCCCTGAGTAACAATTCTGTGTCCCTGTAACCTGTGTCCCTGAGTAACGATTCTGTGTCCCTGAGTAACGATTCTGTGTGTCCTTCAGTAACGATTCTGTGTCCCTGAGTAACAATTCTGTGTCCCTGAGTAACAATTCTGTGTCCCTGATAACGATTCTGTGTCCCTCAGTAACAATTCTGTGTCCCTGAGTAACAATTCTGTGTCCCTGAGTAACAATTCTGTGTCCCTGAGTAACAATTCTGTGTCTGTCCCTGAGTAACAATTCTGTGTCCCTGAGTAACAATTCTGTGTCCCTCAGTAACGATTCTGTGTCCCTCAGTAACAATTCTGTGTCCCTGAGTAACAATTCTGTGTCTGTCCCTGAGTAACAATTCTGTGTCTGTCCCTGAGTAACAATTCTGTGTCCCTGAGTAACAATTCTGTGTCCCTCAGTAACGATTCTGTGTCCCTCAGTAACAATTCTGTGTCCCTGAGTAACGATTCTGTGTCCCTGAGTAACGATTCTGTGTCCCTGAGTAACGATTCTGTGTCCCTCAGTAACAATTCTGTGTCCCTGAGTAACAATTCTGTGTCCCTCAGTAATGATTCTGTGTCCCTCAGTAACGATTCTGTGTCCCTGAGTAACAATTCTGTGTCCCTGAGTAACGATTCTGTGTCCCTGAGTAACGATTCTGTGTCCCTCTGAGTAACAATTCTGTGTCCCTCAGTAACAATTCTGTGTCCCTGAGTAACAATTCTGTGTCCCTGAAATGATTCTGTGTCCCTCAGTAACAATTCTGTGTCCCTGAGTAACAATTCTGTGTCTGTCCCTGAGTAACAATTCTGTGTCCCTGAGTAACAATTATGTGTCCCTGAGTAACAATTCTGTGTCCCTGAGTAACGATTCTGTGTCCCTGAGTAACAATTCTGTGTCTGTCCCTGAGTAACGAATCTGTGTCCCTGAGTAACAATTCTGTGTCCCTGAGTAACAATTCTGTGTCCCTAAGTAACGATTCTGTGTCCCTAAGTAACGATTCTGTGGCCCTAAAAGCCCTAAAGTCTCTGTGGCCCTAACTCTGTCCCTAATACAGACAGGTCTGTCTCTCTTGAATGACCGGAGGCTAATGGAGAATTGTAAGATGGCCGCAATTTATAGCTCCACCATTACACAGTGCTGGCTGGCTGGCTGCTGATTGGCTAATGTGATCACATGTCATGAATGAATGCATTATGGGTCAGCGCGCCTTGTCTGCGCGCCTTCCCAGAGATCCCCGTCCGTCGCCACACATGTCGCCGCCATTTTTGGGAAAATTCGATTCGTGCATCCGAAGTTTGCTAATTTTCGGATTCGGCGCGAATCGAATTTTTCCTGATCTTCAAAACGAATTCCACTTCACCATGTTCGATTCGCTCATCTCTAATTATATGTATATAATAATAATAATAATTGTACAATCGTGTCTTCTTTCAACACTTTCCTTTGCTCCCCTGTTTTAGATCTCTAATCATTGTGGTACATGGCAGAATGTAAAGGGAAATTTTGAATTCCTGATCTCCATTTCATCTCCATGTTCTATGTTCCTTTGATTCATTGCAAGACAGATGGCCACAAAGGAAATTATTGGTGAATATTGATTATTAAAGAACTATCTTGCACCCTCAGCATGGACAAAGCATCAAAATGCTTTGGGCGTTGGTGCTCCCCTTTGGGGGGAATCATTGGAATTGCTCCCTAGTGGAGTTGGGACATTATGGCAGCAGGAAGCACTTCACTGGGAGGAGGATATTGGGTCATGTTTTACACAAACTATGTGAGCACTAAATTAAAACAAAAAAAATAATCTGTAGTACTGGCGCTAATCAGGAAGGGCATAAATTAAAAAAAAATATTTACAATCTAGCAGCCTAGGGGTAAAAAATGGGACTGGGATGAATTCCCAGGTAGACAAAAGAGCAAAGGCAGACACCAGGTGCTTAAAATCAGACAAGTAGAAATGAGATGAAAACATTTAGGGTTGAAGGGGAAAAAAGTACCGACAGTGGTCACACCTACCAATCCGTTGATCAGATCAACACACTGATGAGTAGTGGTTTGCTGTGCCTCTAGGGGATATCTGCTCTCTGAGGGTACCCATGTTGCAGCCATGTTGCAAACAGACCTTTCATAGACATGCACCACATTTTTTTCTTTGGGGAGACAAATACAGTGGGTCATCAATAGCAACAAGGATGGATTTGTAACTGCCTTTGTTGTCTATCGTCTATTGGAATTCTTGGAAAAAATTGCTTTTCATCGCTAAGATTGTTACTAAATGCACACTTTTCTCCAGTCACCCAAAGATTTACCTATCCTGGAGGAGAAGTCTATCTTTCGAAATTGCTTTTTTTTCAATGAGATAGGGTCAAAACAATCATAGTTTTGTATTTGTATTGTAATTGTATATTTTTAAGTTCCTTATTAGAATTATAATTAGAAACATATGCCTATATATAGATCGCCTACATGTTTCTTGAATTATATAAATTGATAGCACCAATGATCATTCAAGTTAGTAAGAGCTTCTACTCTTCAGTCACACAGTATGTATCCTAAGTGTGATGCCAATAGTTCTTCTCTTGACTCTTGATGTTTTACTGTATATAGTTTAGACTAGTAAAATATTTCATGTGAAGTGGTAAAATTAAAGAAATTAGCCACATCACATCTATTATTTCTGAAACTCTCAGCGGATCAGCAGTGTGTTCTTCCACACTGGTGAAAGTAATGGAAGCACAGACAGCACACATTAGCTGGTCCCCTACCCGCTTTTCATTTTCCAATGGATATTTTAGTCTAGGTTAATTCTGTCTTCAGTTCAGCTGTGCGACTGGTGATATTATCCATGACATGTGTGTCTCTGCACTATTTACAGCACTTCTCAATCAGTCAAGCGC